CAGGCGCCCACCACCACACCCGGGTAACTTTTTTGTATTTTTAGTAGAGTCGGAGTTTCACCATGTTAGCCAGGATGGTCTTGATCTTCTGACCTTGTGATTCACCCGCCTCGGCTTCCCAAAGTGCTGGGATTACAGGCGTGAGCCATCACACCTGGCCTGAGTATCTTTCAGTTTCTATTTGGTGGTTCTAACTCCCAGAATACAATTAGATAGGGAAGCTTAGTGTTTTCTGTGTGTATTTGTGTTTGAGGGTAAGGAGCAATTATAGGGTATTGAGTCCTAGAAAGCACAGTCTTCAAGAATAACGATTCCAGTTGACATGGGTAGAGAAGTGCATTCTGGAGATAGTACATTCTAGGGACTGTTGTGTTTTCTACACCTTCATTTATGGCACACTCCTGGAATGGGGTCAGAATCAGGCAGTGAGGGTTGGATGATCCTATCTCAGCCCAGCATAGCTGTATGAGATAAAAGCTTCCCAGTAGCGCTGGGAGCACTGGGCTAGGGGCTCTGCATATTCTCTTGGCCAGTTGTAGATCTGAGAATGGCATATTACCTATGTCCATGGGAGTAGAGAAGGGGACCAATGGTAATCTATGCACCCTTGCTGGCAAATACCAAGAGGCCTTTGAACAAATTCTGCAAAATAAGAGAAAAGGGAATATCATTCTAAAAGTTCAGAGAAAGAATGAATATTTGAAGATGACTGCCAGTGGAAACCACAAGAATTCAAGTGCGCAGTTGAGGCTACTTACCAGTTAAGATGTTACAATGGTGGGAGGTAGACTATGACTGAAAAGAATCACGGCATCTCAGTGTTACAAGGGATTTCAGAAGTCTTCCGTTCAACCCTCTCAACTCCACAGTAACTAAGTAAGCAGTCAGAAAGCCCATATTTGAATCCCCCCGACTTATCTAGAAGTCATTACGCATTACATGGTGAAACAATTCACTTCATTTTTACAGAGTCCTAATTTTTAGAATGCTATTTTTTATCCGCAGCAACATTTAACACTCTGTACTTTCTATTCCTGAGTTCTGTCCTGTGGAGCCACATGGAATAATCCCAATATTTCTTTTAAGAGGTAGACTCTTTCAAGAGATGGATGTTTCTTTCAAGATATAGACCTTCAAGTACAATAGTATCATATCTACCTCCCAAGGTGTGTTTTTCAGTTGTCCCTAAGGATACTAGCAGAACTGTGAATATATCCATATAAGCACACTATGCTAGATTCGAGAATCTCACATGCAATACTACCAACTGCAACAATAGTAAATACACTCTTGGTCAGCATCCCTACTTACAGAATAGAAATCAGAACACCCCCACCTACCATACATATTCTTTTACACAGCTCCAGGAACCCCTGATTAATGACCTCCACTTGCAAAGGAGGCTACTTACCTTAACCATGAAATAATGAATGCTATTGATCCAACAAGCTACTGCTATAGAGTGTTATTGATCACCCAATCTTTGGTTAAAACAGTCCTCATTTAGCAATTTCACTGTCACAAACACCTGGAGCAAAGCACACTCATAATTAAAGAGTTTGGGGGAGTTAAAGTGAGAGGTGATGGACAGAGATCTCAGCTTTCTCCCATTTATTCTTGCTTCTGAGCTATTGTTTGTGTCAGAAGGGATATTGATTTTCTATAAAAATAAGAAAACAAGAGGCACCAAGGGGCCGCAGAAGGTCAGCCTGGGCTGGAGAAGGAGGGGTAGGTTTAGCACTCTATCTCTGTCACTTGCCTTCCAAGAGAGGAGAATATTTTCTTTCCTGTGAGATCAGCCTCTAATACATCACCTTAGGAAGGCTCCTGAATGTGACTTCTGGCCATCACCCAAACAATTCACTTATGAAAAAAAAAGAAGCTAAACTATATTCAAGGGGAACAAACAAATGATGTGTTAGTAAAGAACAGAGCAAAATTAGGCTACAGTCACCTAATAGCTAATAGCTATTAATAGCTGCTATATAGACAATTTAAATTAAGATCAGTAGAAAATAATTTTACAGTAATTGTTCTACTTTAGAATACTCATAAACACACATACACAGAAAAATATTAAAATAAGTTTGATCTCTATGCAAGCAGGAAAAAACTATTATACTATAACCATTTTTAGTTCCTCAAAACTTGTGAGGGATTGGCTGGTGTAATATTAAAGGAAGACCAGAAACAGAAAAGCAAACAAATATTGATGAAGTCTATAACTACTCCATGTTTAGTTCACAAACAGTGAGTTTAAGGAAATTAGAAATAGGCTGACTGAGACATACATTTTCAAATCCAAAACACCTAAAACATGCTTTAAAAAAAAAACCAAAAACTCTACCATTGACCAGGCTAAGCTAAGCTTAACAATCAACTTCATCTTAATAATCTTACAACGTGGATCATTACTCTGACAACCCTCAATATCACTGCTAAAAAGTAAAATTCTACATTTTGATCTGTATGTGAACAGTGGCACATCCAAGTAGATTTATGAAAGGGTAACCAAGAAGATTCTTGAAAGTATTTCTTTTAAAAATGCAGGGGAAACAAAAAAGTAGAAAATTATTGACAGAATCAACTGACCAAGACAGTATAATATCCAAATCATAAACTATTATCTACTTACACTCTAATGCTAGCCCTTTTTAAAGGTGTGCCTAACAATTAAGGGAGATTTTAGTTCCACTCTCCTCTTGAAGAGAGGCTGAACACAACATGCGGTCAAAGAGTAAGAATCACCCCCTCTCCCACAGAATGGATTTAGGGGAAAAAAATACAAAGCACTTCTGTTTGTAACTACAGATGAATTGAGACAAGTCAAGGGGAATTTAGAACTCCTAAATAACTAGAAGATTTTAAAGAACTTTCCTCATGCCATGTGTGCCACCACTCCGCCCATTATTCCTTCACAGCTACAAGCCCTTTAGCATCTACATATTGAAAGAACTCTCAAGTGAGGGGCCAGGGTAATAGCCCAAATGGGTGAATGAGGTCTCCTCAATTTGAAAAGAGGAAGAATTTCACAAGAATTCCCATCCACTTAATTTTATCCAGACTCTCAGGTAACGAGAATTTATATTATTACATCCTGACTAGAATGTGCAATAGATGTGTCTGGAGTAAGAAGGAACAGAAATGAGTGAAGCATCTCATGCTAGATTATAGGCTCTGCATCTGGAGCCACACTTGAGCTGTTATCTCAGAGCAGACAGAGTTAACAGTCTCTCTTTCACATACAGTTATGTCGTAGTTTAATAAGAAATTATGGGGAAGAAACATACACAAAGCTATTATCCCAAAAGGCTACTTTTAAAATCACCATTCTCAATACTAAGAAGAATTCTATTTGGTATATATGCTCAATATTAAAACCAACTTAAATATCTCAGTAGAGGGTTTCAATAGTGTGAAAGGCTACAAGTTGACTAAGCATTTCTTGTTTGATTAAAAATAGTCTGATGAGGAAAATAAATACCTTTATAATCCAAATATCTACATATAAATTCTGTAAATAGACCTTAGAAGGAAAGAGGCATTAGAGGAAAATTAGGAAAGTCAAAATATGAGCCTATCTCAATATAGTCTGCAGACTGGCAAATATAAAGTTAATAAGAAAAAGTTTAAAAGCTGGATTAAAAACCATCCATGAAAGGTACAGGTACACAGACCTAAGCAGCTTTTCCTGTTACTGACACAGCCTCACCTCAGAGTTCCTAAGATTAATGTCTTCGTTTTTAAGATAAACTTCAGAAAGGTCATCTGTTCTACAGCTAGGAAAGTTAAATTGAGACAGAACAACTCAAAGGGCAGCAGAACGTGGTGGTTACGAATGAGCTTTGGAATCAGGCTTGATTCCCCGTTTTGGCACTGGGTGACCTTAGGCAAATTATCTAAGCTCTTATAACCTCAGCTTCCCTTCTGTAAATACAAATAATGGTATCCACCATATAGTGGAATTGTGAGCATTAAATAAGAGTATATGTTAAGTCCATAGTACAGTGCCTGGCCCATAGTTAAGTGCTTAATAAATGTCAACTAATATTAACAATAATAGAATACACTGGTTCTCAACAGGGAGTACTCAATCCACCTAGGGATCACCCCTGGAGGTTTTTGGGTTGATACAATGAAAAGGGGGTGTGAACAATGCAGAGATGCTAAATATTCTGCAATGCACCATAAAGAACTGTCCCATCTAAAACACCAATGGCATCCTCACTATTAAGTAAAAGATAATCACAGATTAACATTAATAACATTAAAGTATCAAGCTGGGGGGTATCAATGTTCCTAGGACTATCTGAGATGTAAAAGCTAAAAAAATCAACAAAACTACACTTACATTTTTAAACACGTACCCAATAGAGACAAATTTTTCTGGCTTGATCACATCTGATGTAAGACTAATGGAACTCGGTACTGTTATTTTCAAAGCCCACCATGTGTTCAGACAATTTGAAAGTCAGCCATAAAAAAATAAATTCAATATAGTCAAACCACGAGTAGCAGAAAACAAAATTATAGCCAAAAAGTATCTAAAGCCATGATTCTTAATAAGGACAGGCAACTTAACGGAACATTTATAAACTCCATATGCCTGGTGCTAACATTTTCTCTTTCTCACACACACATGCACGCGCATACACACACCAGCCTCTGCTGAGACCTGAGTTCTAAACAATAATATTTATGTACAAACTACATGGCATAATAAGCAACAAATTGCTTTTTAAAATTATTAGTTGTGCATTTGAGGTACGCGTTTTAAACAGTTTTTAGAAACAACTGTGTTTCTATAGCCTTCCTGACAGAGGGAAATAGACACTTGAATGGTACCTTAAAAAGCTAAACTGCTGACTGATTCAAGGAAGTCTTCAAAGTCAATACCAGAGTGGCTGGTTTGAAAGAATGTAGAACCCACTAAGACTGCGGATGTGTACTTTGGGAAACATTAACCAGCAAAATCTTTGACTTAATAAGGGAGATCTCACCATTCTGACATGTTCTCATCAGAGCCCTGTTTTTGTTCATCTGTTTCACACTCCATCCTTTCTTTCCTTCCTGCTTTGCTTAGGAAAGTCCTGTTTTCTGCTGATTCACACAATCCGTGGCCTGATGAGGTCCAGGGAGTATTCTCCTTCCAGCGGGACAGACGCTGTTTCTTAGCAGATTTGAACCTGCAGCCTCTCTCATAGCTCCAATCTGATACCTTCAGTTTCTGCTGAAGGCTAGCAGCCACCTCTGATGTCACTCGCTTCACCTTCCGCCTGCGCCTGAGTGGTCGACAAGGTGCATTTTCAGTAAAGGAGTCAGATTCATGCCAAGAATGTTGCTTACTCTTAACAATGGCATTGAGAGCTGGGTGTCGTTTGGCCACCATTGTGTCATCAGAGTCACTAAAATTGGTCACGGGAGCCACTTCTCGACAGTCCTTAGTGGCCTCATCCAGACTTGACTCAGACGCCTCGCTGTAGCAGCAGGTATGCTCTGCCAGGTGAGTGAAGTCAGAACGACGCTTCCGACCTCGGCGTTTCCGAAGCTGCCTCCTCTGCTGCCGGGGGCTCAGGGCCATCTCCTCCCACAGCTCACCAAGCTTATTCTGCTCAGATGTTTGCTCCAAGGCTGAGGCTAAGTCGTGTACCAGCTCATCCATGAGGCCACATCTGCCAAAAGGAAGTTTGGCGGGGGGTGGGGGGGAGAAATAAAAGAAAAAGAAAAAGAAAGCCTGAAAAGGATCTGTTGTTTTGGAATAATTTGATGAAACAGATCGTGGTAGTCCACGGTTCTGCCTGTCTAAATGAAATAAGTCACCCTTCATCTGGCTACACTTAGATTCTGTTCCTACCACTTCCTAAAGCCACTAAAAATAGATGTTTTGTCCCTTGTTAAACGCCTGAAGTCAACATATTCTTAAGCACAAAAACCTACTAACCAGATGACAACTGGGACAGGACCCAAAACAAATTCGGGGGACTAGATCCTTCTCACTTTTCCCCAATTAAACTTGTCACTGAATTACCTAATGATGAGATCCAGAAAGATTAGAGACTGTCTCACTAGACAGGAGTAGAAAAACATACAACTTCAAAATCACACTACAGCTGCAGAAACACAGAGCAGGACACGGTCTCATCGAGGTATTGAGAATGAATGAAAAAATGTTTTTTGGCCTGGGGTCACTGCTGACGATGACCATGGCAGAAAGAAACAGAAAGACAACTTAGTGATACCCTTTAAGGAAGAATGCAGTTTTCATGATCCAAGAAATTGTAGTGACCCAGGTTTGAAGTCAGAATGGAGAAGAGACTAAGTTTGCACCCATTCTGGTACCAGCTACCACCTGGAACCTACCAGGTATAGAACCTTATACAGTAGGTCATATATTTTTGAATAATTAACAATTTTTAAGCCCCTCTCCTACTCTTCAGAAAATAAACGTCCGAATGTCCGTCCTAGTTATGTGCTTCAGTGCCACACAATCACACAAAAATAGGATACAACAGCAGCTGAAATGACAGGGATAGGGTGAAGTTTCTAAGATTTCTGGCTGAACTGCTTTCCAAAATTTCTTATTTTTCTGTTTATCCTCAAACCAAACATCACACTTCAGGAGTCACTTCAGAGGTAAACATTTCAAGAAATGAGAGTAGTAGGAACAATCTTCAAAATTACCTCTTAAGAGGAAATGTTTAATTTGTATAGCAGCTAATTAAATACACATTAAACTTTTAGCACTTTTCCCCTGCTTCTATGCCCAAAGTATTTCAAGATCAGCTTAAAATTCTATGTGGTGCCACTCTCTCACCATATTCCCATTCATTCAGTTTTCACTTTGCAAAGGGCTTTCTAAAACCTGTTTTCATGCTGTGCCTATGCCAATGAATTTAAAGACAGGAAAACAGTCCTCCGGCTTATCTGCCACACCTGTAGGAGCAATGGTGACACCTACTTCCAAAACTACCATACAAACGAAGCTTCTCAAAGTGTCCAAAGGCACATACATTTAAACAAGACCAAGTTCTTTTAAGCATTAAGAAGTGATTTATTAACACCTGTGAAAAGAAGGGGAAAAATGGAAAAAAAAAAAAAAAAAAGTGGATTAAAATTCCAGGATTGAGGTTTGGGAGACAAGTGTCCCTAAGACCAAAATAAAGAAACAAGTGGGAACAGCATGCCTAAATCTACTTCTCTAATAAAGAATTACTGCTTTAAAAACTCAGGCAACTAAAATACAAAAAAACAAAAACAAAATAACAAATAAAAACCTCAGGCAGAATAGCACAAACTTGAACACGGAACAAAGTCACCAAACAACTCGTAGTCGAATGCTTGTGCAGAATCCTTTCCTGCCTCAAAGCCTGTAATTCGAATAGTGGGTGACAGAAGAACCCTAGGACTCCCCATCTCCAGTCGCGGGTGCACGCTCTCGAGAGGACCCGGCGTCCAGGCACGCACCCGGGTAGAGATGAGGCTGAGTCACGCACAGGAAGGAACGGGTAGGGCAGCTGGTGGACAGCAAGTAAGAAGAGAAACAGGAGCAGGGTGGAAGTGAGGGGCGGAGTAGGAGGTGGGAGAGGCAGGAGGCAACTTCTCATTTGGGCTCACCAGGGGCGGGGGTCGGCTCTTCTAGGGCAGAAACTGAAAAAATGCAAGTCGTGGCGACTGAGCTCCCTCCGGGATCGGGGGTCGCAACACGGCCACATATGTGAGAAAAACTGTGTTTCGAAGGACTCTCCACCTCGCCCCGGCCCGTCCCTGAGGGCTGGGGCGACCATGGCTCGGGATACCAAGCCCTCACGCTGCCACCAGCCCCAGAGAGGCAGAAAGAAAGAAAGAGGAAGAGGGGGCTGTGGCCCCGAAGACGGCCAGGCCCACATCCCCAGGGATGGGGACAAGGGCCCTGAAAAGCAAGGCCCCACCACCCTCACCCTCCGGCCAGCTGCCGCAGCCCCAAGACGCCCTTAGCCGCTCAGCCGCAGCTTGGCGCTCCGATCCCCTCAGGTACTAACCCCCAGGATCCCAACACTCTCAACCCACTCCTCCCCCTCACCAGCTGCCGCAGCCACCTCCGACGGCCGCCGCTTTTTGGGCCGACTCTCACCGCCAGGGCTTCCCTCTCTGACCTCATTTCCGGTCTGGGCCGGAGGGGTGGGGCGGCGGCGAGTGGGAGGGGCTGGCTGCAAGATTGGGCCCCTGACCCATTGCTTCCGCCCGTGGCCACACCCACTTCCGCCCCACGGTGGGCGGAGCCACAGGAAGCCAGAAGATGGGGCAGGGGACAAGGAGGGGTGCTGAGTAAGGTCTGGCCGGGAAAGGGCGTTTCACGGGTTGAGGTGCCCATGTGGGGAAAGACCCCTGCATGCTGGCCTCATCTTCCTTAGGGGCGTCCAGAAATTGGGCGCTAGGCAGGGGTGTCAGCTTCCCCCTTGCTTTCTGACCTTTTTAATGGGTCTGTGAAGTTGAGGAGAAAAGGATCTTAATGACGTCTACCCTGTGAGCTGGTACAAACTTTGGGAGGGGTGGTTCTTCACTGAGTTACTCAGAACATTTCAAATTGCCTTGAGCAATAAAACAAGTGATATTGGATTATAACTCAAAGTATAAAAGAAATATTCATGAGCCCATACCGATATAAATAAGTGATTGAATAAATTAACGAATGAGGAAGAATAGATAAATCCCCCACAGAAGAATCTCAAATAACTTATGTAGACAGCCATCCTGGAGCATAACTTCCACCTCCTTAAATGTGGGCTGTGCATAGTGACTTCCTTCCCAAAAGTACAGCATCTGTAAAGGGGAAAATGAGTGATTTTACAGTGGGGAAACCTGGCAAACAGTAATTCAGCCAGGTGATCAAGACTATGTGCTAAATCATGTTGATAGTGTGTGGACTGATATATGATGAGAATGGCACTTTATGCTACTTTCCTTCCAAATCTCATAACCCAGTCTAATTATAAGAAACAAATCTGACAAACCCGAATTGAGGGACATTCTGCAGAGTACATGACCGGTATTCTTCAAAATTGTTAAGATCAGCAAAGGCAAGGGAAGTATAAGAAACTCAGAGCCAGGAGAAGCCTGAGGAGGCATGACAATATAATACGGTATCCTGGGTGTGACACTGCAATTAAATAAAGAACATTAGGTAAAAACTAAGGAAATCTGGATAAAGTATCAACTTTAGTTAATAATAACGTATCGGGCCAGGCAAGGCAGCTCACGCCTGTAATCCCAGCAACTTTGGGAGACCGAGGTGGGCGGATCACCTGAGGTCAGGGGATTGAGACCATCCTGGCTAACATGGCGAAAACCCGTCTCTGCTAAAAATACAAAAATTACACGGGCATGGTGGTGCGTGCCTGTAATCCCAGCTACTCGGGAGGCTGATGCAGGAGAATCGCTTGAACCCTGGAGGCGGAAGTTGCAGTAAACCGAGATCCCACTACTGCACTCCAGCCTGGGTCAGGAGAGCAAAACTCTGTCTCAATAATAATAATGTATCAATTTTGGTTGCAATTGTGACGTGTGTTACACTTTTGTAAGAGTGAATAGCCGGGTGCGGTGGCTCACACCTGTAATCCCAGCACTTTGGGAGGTTGAGGTGGGCAGATCACCTGAGGTCAGGAGTTCGAGACCATCCTGGCCAACATGGTGAAACCCTGTCTCTACTAAAAACACAAAAAATTAGCCGGGCGTGGTGGCACACGCCTGTAGTCCCAGTCCCTGCTCAGGAGGCTAAGGCAAGAGAATTGCCTGAGTCCAGGAGGCAGAGCTTGCAGTGAGCAGAGATCAAGCCACTGCACTCCAGCCTGGGCGACAGAGCAAGACTCCATCACACACACAAAAAAAGGTGAATAATAGGGGAAATGGTGTGCATTATACAGAAACTGTAGTGTCTTTATAATTTTTCTCTAAACCTTAAACTATCCTAAAATAAAAAGTTTATTTAAAAATATGCACATACCTTGGACCCAGAAATTTTACCCCGAAGAACTGTATTCTAAGGAAAAATTGGAAATGGGCACAAAAATGTCAAATATAGGTAAATCATCTCTGTAGCATTTCTGAGGGAGAGATGAGGAAACTAGAAAAAGCCAGAAGTTCCACAACAGGGGTTAGTTAACTAAATTATGGTACATCAATATGTGGAATACCTTGCAACTTTTTAAAATTGATGTTGCAAAAGAATATTTAATGACATGAAAAGCCATCGACTTATGATTGTGTACATTTCTGCATGACTGTTATACTTCAATAAAAAGATTACTCTAAAAATGTAGAGTATGATTCCCGTACAAAGGAAATTAAATCTATACTCGCATAGGAGTATGACCAGAGGAATTCACTACACAATATCAGAAATGATTTCATTATTAATGATTATATCTCCTATCTGTTGTTTTTTTGTGGATTTTCAGAATTTTCTATAGTTGAAAAAAAGTCAATGTAGGAGACAAAGATAGTTGAGGTTTCGAGCTAGGGCAACTAAGACAATGGTCAGTGCCATCTGCATAGCTAGAGAAGTCAAGATAAATGGGTTTAGTGGAAAGATGATTAATTCCATTTTGGACATGCTGAATTTGTGACTCCCACAGGACAGAAATATGGAAATGTTCAACAGGTGTCCACGGCCATGAGGCCTCTTTTCTGCATAAGTGAAAATTCTCTCCCACAAATCACATCTGTTCCCACAGTGTTGGTTGCCTGCATCAGCACTGAAAGCTCCCAAATTTCTTGAAATTCAACTATATTTTCATCTTTCTACTAGATATCTCCACTTGTTCACCTGACCAGCATTTCCAATTTAAAATGTCAAAATAGGCCAGGTGTAGTGGCTCATGCCTGTACTCCCAGCACTTTGGGAGGCTGAGGCGGGTGGATCACTTGAGGTCAGGAGTTTTGAGACTAGCCTGGCCAACATGGTGAAACCCTGTCTTTACTAAAAATACAAAAAATTAGGCAAGTGTGGTGGCATGTGCCTGTAATCCCAGCTACTGGGAAGACTGAGGCAGGAGGATCACTTCAGTCCGGGAGGCAGAGGTTGTAGTGAGCTGAGAGCACGCTGTTCCACTCCAGCCTAGTGACAGGAGTGAAACCCTGTGTCAAAAATAAATGAGTGAATAAATGAAATAAATTGTCAAAAATAAAAATAAAGCTTAGTTTCTTCCATAGTTTCTTCCTTTCTTCCCTCTCTCCATTCCTTTTTTTTTTTTTTTTCATACCGGGTCTCTGTGAAATGGAAAACAAAATGACACACTGTCTCAAAAAAAAAAAAAGGAACTGGTCTCAAAAATGTTAAATACAGGTTAAATCCTTCTCTGCAGCATTTCTGAGGGAGGACTGAGGAAACTAGAAAAAGTCAGAAATTCTACAACAGGGATTAGTTAAGTAAATGATGATACACCTATGGACGGAACACCGTGACATGATCATTACCTCACTGCAGCCTTGACCTCCTGTGCTCAAGTAATCCTCCCACCTCAGCACCCTAAGTAGCTGGGACTACAGGCACATACCACCATGCCCAGCTGATTTTTAAATGTTTAGTAGAGAGATAGGGTCTCCACTATGTTGCCCAGGCTGGTCTCGAACTCTTACCATCAAGTGATCCTCCTGCCTCAGCCTCCTAGAGTGCTGGGATTACAGGTGTGAGCCATCTTGTCCAGCCTCCTCCATAGCTTCTGTCAAACCTGCCCCTTCTCCACTCCTCACTCTTTGGGAAATATCACCACCATCATGCAGTTACCCAGGTGAGAAGCTTCAAACCCATTTTTAGTTCTTGTTTCTTTCTTTTACCCCTTTATCTAGTAAAGTGCTAAGCCTCGTAGATTGTACTCCTGCAGTAGTCTTGCATCCGTCCTCCCTCATTGGTTTTTGCTCTGCCATTGGCCTCATCTGGGCAGGCAGCCACTCTTCTGGATGATGCAGCAGCTGCTGCCTTACTGATCTTCCCACTTGCAGTCTGTCCCCCCAAAATGTCATCCTCTACACAGGCACCACAGTGAGTTTCCTAAAACACAATTTTAATCGTGTCACTTCATCCATCTTCCACTACCTCCTGCAACATGCTTGAGCACACCATATCACTTGCTAGTTCTTGAACACCCTTGGGATCTGGGGTGATTTAAACGCTCAATTCCAATGTCACCTCAATAAAGACACTTACCCTTGCTTGCCCACTCCTTTGGCTCTCACTCTCAGTACTTGCCAGTACCTTTATGACCGCACTCTCTTTATTCAACCTGAACTAGAGCCAGTTATGTGCAAGTTTGCCTCCCCAACTAAGTCACTCATTCAACAAATATTTACTAAGCATCTACAGTATGCCTTGCCCTGTGCTTATACGTATATAATTGTGTGAACAAAACCAAAGCCCTTTTTGCTTTGCCCTGAAGACCCTGTCCTATTCATTGTATTCTCATCAGTGCCTAGCACAGTGCTTTACACATGGTAGGTGCTCCATAGTTATTGTTGATTAAAAATTAAATGAATACTTGTTTACTAAATGCTGGGTCAGGGACATTAGAAGTGTTTGTCTCAGTCCCATGAGAAAATTGTAATGAAACTTGCACCTTCATGGGATGGTGGAATCCATGGGCAGAATCACATAATGAAAGAGGGTGGCGAGAGAAGTGGCCTGTTGGGGAAGAAGAGGACAGCTCCAAAGAGACTGAGAGCATCTGAAGAGAACCTGTGTCTAAAAGCCAGAGGAGAGAGAGCTTTAAGAAAATGAAGAACAAAAGAAAGTTTGAGGATGAACAGTTCTAAGGAAAGGCCACCACACTTGGCAACTGAGGAGGTCACTGATGGTAATAAGGTTCGAGCAGGCTGCAAGCAGGCAGCAGTGGAGGTGGGGGAAGGAGGTGAAGGATGAAGCCCTAACTGCCTGACTGTGTCCAGAGCTAGCAGCTTCACCTCTTTGAGCCTTCACTTCCCCATCTGCAATATGGAGACAATATTTGTACATACCTGTCTCTTGGATGGACACGAAATGAAATAATGAATGTAAAGCATTTAGTATACAGCCCAACACAAATTAACTGCTCCAAAGGTATTAGTAGTTACTGAAAAGAGGGGAGTAGTCAACAGAAGTTTCCTTTTTTTGACCATCAAACGTAGTCAAATGAGGAAATTCCCAGCTGAAAAAGAAT